AGCCTTCTAGATGCTCGCCATCAGCAAATTATTTGCAACACGCTTTTGGGATTACAATCCCCAAATAATGGGCAAATCACCCTTTCTGTTGCCGGCATTGCAATGAAGGCAAATAAGCTTAAACTTTCGTAATGAAGATCCGAGCCTTCGCTGATTTGATTCGACAGTGCAAGGAAGAGGACCACCACTGAGCGCTTACATTTTACGACGTACTCATTGAGGCTGAGTTCCCTATGAACGATACCTTGTTGCGTCCTCTGACCCGCAGTTACGTGGCAATTGCAGACTCGGTGACAGTGAGATCCGAGGATCTACTTAAGATCAGTATGCACGGAAGCCCGGCCTTTTGTGGGCAAACTAAGAGCCATGAATTAAACCGCAGTCTTGCTTATCCCATTCCTTGCGAAAAGGCTATTGTGACCTGCCATAACAGAATGCTACGATAGATTTCAAAACATTTATGTCGTGCTTTAGCTTATTACAATGGGTTGGTTGTAGAAGAAGAGTTGGAAAATTTGTCGAACACTTATTCCTTAAATCACTCATCCCACTTGTGACTTTACAGCTTTCCACCACGATGTGACCAGAACCTGACGACTTTTCGGCAAATTTGAGGGGACTCCCAGTGAAGGCAGACAGATTGCCTTCTCGATGCTAAATAGGAGCTTACTGGCCACTAGCGCTGCTCCAAGTTTATCGTGTTTGGCACACCCTTTCCATTCAAATAGGCCTCCCAATGCAAATGAATGATAAACATGGAAGCATTGTCCTGGATATCGTTTAGATTTTAATCCAGATAAGAGATTACGGAAGTTCGGAACAAACATGAGTGTACTGGAGACTGGCGTAGTACTCAATGTGGGACAAATTGCAGAAAAAAAGTTCGTTTAAATGGAGAAGGTTATGAATTAGGCTACACCAGTGTGAGGAAACAGGGACTTACGCTTTGCATGGTTGGTGGAAAGGGCAGTGTTTGTAAGCATTTGTGCGGCTTTAGGCTAAAACTGCGGCACTGCAAGTAAGCACAAGAGCAGTGATTGTGGAAGTTAAGATAGATCCGCTGGTCATGTCAATCCGCTTCTCCTTACCTATACAAAAAAGTGCTGCCATAAGTAGTATCTAAGAGATTTGCGTCTCATTTGTGGTGAGACTCATTAATGAATGATTCAATGTACTTTCTTAGTGCGTGACGGTATGCGAGGACTGAGGGCAGACCACCATTTTACTAATGCGCCTCTAGTGAGACGTAGGGAACGAAATCGACAGAGGCAATGTTGTTCAGTTTGTGTTAAGCACAGTCGAGGGAATCTCGTGTAATGTCAGACCCATGACCATGCAAGTAAAGTGGACAATAAGATGGTTTGCGTCTTAGGTTAAGTAGAATAGACGTGTTTGTCTGCTGACATGATTCAAGAAGTAGCTAGGAGTCGCATTGAGTTGGAGGACTGTGTGAAGTTGCTTCAAAAGAACTGCACGAACTAAGCTACAATCTTCAAACTATTCCTTAGGTGCACGGATTTAGCAATACTACTTCTGTCTAGCCACCGAAGGCCATCTTCACATTAATTTCCAGAGGCAAGCAACGCACTTTGCGATTTGGTGCGAATAAGGTTGGATGGATTTGAAAGTCTTTCACATTCCAAAGGATCCTGTCCAACGGCTGCGATTGTGCTGGCTACCACGAGGCACTGATACGTTGTATCCGGATGCAGATTTTTGACTATAACGGATGTTGTCTCATTGTCTTTAGTAATGGCCATTGATGGAGCGTAGAATTGTGCGACATCGCGACAGACAACCCGATAGGGTTTGAGGATACCATTGGGGTGCTTTGGCTTAGACCAAGTCAGTTGGATTTCTGTTGGCGATGTGGCCATTCCTCTTGGACGCGAGACTCGAGAAGGAGCTAAGGTCAAAGATGCAAAATGGGCAGTGATTGCGCAATCTGAGCGCAGTGAGTTGGACATTCCTTTACAGCATGCTCAACATAAAGCAGAAGGGATTCTTTGTCTCTTTGCCTTTCTTTCGGTTGTATAATGTGAACGAATCAGTCACTAATCTTTGGACATTTTAGTTTCAATGGTTTGCTTGGAGTGATTTCCCTCCTGTCGCCTCCTTTACGTTAGGCAAATCAGATGCGTTCATTGAATCGTAAGCAGTCCTACTAACATTGACAAATGGAAGCATAGCAGGTAACGGAGATCGAGAGTTTAGGCATGAAGGAAAAAGACTCCTCCTTTTCTGTATTTAAGGTGATCGCATTAACCTGTTTTCTTCACAGGAAACGGGAAGTTGTAACAGTACATTTTCTCGCAAACAGTTTCCTTTATAATCCTGGATGACCTGTCAGGCTAATTAACTGCATACATCGGTGAAAGGTGGACTCCTTTGACCTACTATTCTATTTCTTTCATCAAAGAGAGAAGGCGAATGCACCATTAATGTATCTCACCCAAAGCCATGGTCCGAATGGGAGCTGAGAAGTCAGACGCCCTACTGCATTGTTTGGAATCCTGTCCAAGTCCTGGGTGCTTTCTAGTGACTACACTGCACCGATATTCTATGCCTGGGCGCAGATTTCCGACAATAACCGAAGTGCTTGCATTGTCCTTGGTTATGGTGCTTTGTTGAAAGCTGGGATTTGCAAGATCGAAACAAACCACAAGGTAAGGTTTGAGTATTCCATTGAGCTGAGTTGGAGCAAACCAATGAAGTTCAATTTCGCTTGTTGATTTGGCTCTTCCGGTGGGTGGACTCACACTAATAGGAGCTGCAAGAGATAAAATGCTGCATGTGAGGATGCATAATTAACCTTCGGCTTCCGCTAGCAGGATAAGGTTTGTCTTTATTGTCTCAAATTCAAGCACACTGGCTAGCTCGAAATTTTATGAATACATTTGCGATGTCAAACGCAGCCCTCCTGACCATGCAAGGAAAAGCAGTGGATGTCAGGTAGGGAACCAAGAAGGTAATTTGATAGGGTTTGAGGACACCATTGGGGTGCAGGGGTTTCCGCCACGTCAGTCTAATTTCTGTCGGCGATATGGCCTTTCCTCGTGGACGCTGTACACGAGTGGGAGCTGCGGACAAATGAGTAAACGCTGTCATCGACAAGACCTTCCTTTACCGCCAAAATTACTGACACTGCATCAAGTGGAAAGAATTCTGGACTGCAGACATGGTGTCAAGTGTAGTCACCTTGTCGACGTAATTATAGGGTCAGACAATGCAATGCTGTGGATGTCAGGTGGGTGAAACTCACCAGTCGGCCACGTTCTAAAGGTACGCTCTAAGTTAAAAACAGCCGCTCCATTATGGCGTCCCTCCACGACGATGCTGTAAGTTGCGTAGGGTTCAAGTCCATGAATGCTGATCCCT